CTATCTTTTCTCCTCTTCAACAATGTGGTGTATATCTTGATATGTGTACAACCAAAAATATGACTTAATAATATGAAGGAGGATAAGTTCTTGCTAAATGCAAATTGACACTCTTTTTTTTCTCAATTTTTTTTTTTGTGATCTCCAGCTTCTTGGAACACCAACAGAATCTGATCTTGGATTTGTTCAAAATGAGGATGCAAGGAGATATATCAGACAGCTTCCATCTCATCAACGTCAACCATTAGCCTCAGTTTTCCCAAATGTTCATCCATTGGCCATTGATCTTGCCGATGGAATGTTGACATTTGATCCCACAAGAAGAATTACTGGCAAGTTTATTAGCCATTATATTGCTTCTGCATACACTAGCCTTTTTAAGATACACTTGTTTTCTTCCTCTTCTTCTTTTGTCTTTTTGAAATTCACTCTGAATGAAAGTGTTTTTTTCCATTTTTTTTGTGCAGTTGAAGAAGCACTAGCACATCCATACTTAGAAAGATTGCATGACATAGCTGATGAACCAGTCTGCCCAGAGCCATTTTCCTTTGATTTAAGCAGCAACCATTGGGGGAAGAGCAGATAAAGGACATGATTTACAGGGAGGCCTTAGCTCTGAATCCAGGGCATCCTTATTAAATATGTATTAAATCTTGTTCCTAGTTTGTTTGATATGTGCTTCAATCTCCTAAGCAACCAGCTCAATTATAGTTTGATGCAAAATTTTTGGTGGTTGAGAAAATGCAACCCAGCATGATGGGTTACAGATTGAAGTTTCCAATTTTTGCATCTGCAATGTATTTGGGATAGCTTTCCTCAGTGGAGCACCTGTAACTGCCTATTCACTTAATTGTCACAAAGTCAGTCCCCTTGCAAGCTCCATAAGCCTGTAAAACTTCAGAATTGATGCTTCTCCCTTTCTGATATGTGTTTAGATTGTGTTTAAATTTTTTAATATCTTCTGAATGTATCACATGCCTTTGTTGCAACCCTTGATTTGATTTATTGTAAGTTAGACTCAAATATCTTGTTGTGAAATATATAAATGAAAAGAATTATATTTTTTTTACTTGATATCTTCATCATTCAGCTTGAATTTTGTATTCTGTAAAATTCATGCCAGGGTTTAACGGTGATAAACTGCTTAATATCTTTACCATTCTGTCTCTTCTTCCGTTGTTCAATGGAAAAGTACAAGGATGAATGTTTCTTTCATTGATAAAGTTTTTGCAGTCTGTGATATCCTTTCTTATTTACTGGATCATTGACTAATGATCATATGGGATGTGGATCCGAAATAAATGCGAAAGAAACAGACCAAGTAACGAGAAGAAAAAGGAGGAAGGATAAACAAGTTTATGATCTATTTAACTCCAACACAATAATTCATTTTTTTTTTTTTTTTAACATCTCCCAACTGGACATATTACTTCTAAGATACAAGAGGTCCCCTAGGTAGTGTTGGCCATGTTGTTTCTGAAATGACTCATAAATCAGAAAATTTTTCTCAGAGTTGGTATCTGCCTCTGTTATATTGGGATCATCATGGAACAGCTTTCTATTTATTCTTTATATTCTTCTTTCGTATAAAAGATAAGGAATGCTCTTAGCCAAGCGTTTCACCTACCCCCTGTCATTAGAAGATGGATGAGAAAGTCAATATATTGATTTTAATGCTAATTAAGCCATATTTTTTTATTGAGTATTAATTAATACTAAAGCAACTAATTTTTGGAAAATATTAAAGTAACAACAAAATTATTTAATAGAAGGATGAAACATAAATCTTGACTGGGAGGTTTTATAAGGGAGAAGCTGGGGGGTAGTTACAGGTTAAATCCTTTCAGCCAAACCTCTCAAGGAGTTAGATGCCTCATTCGTGCATTTAAGAATGGAAATTGACCACGATCAAACAAACTTGCACAAGTTGGGCATATTAAAGCAAGTGCCTTCGGATTATTTGAATACTGCTAACGAGAACATTTCAACCAGAACTGAAAATGCCTGCCATGGAGTTCCAAACATCCGCAGACGAAGAAGTTGGCAGATCACATTCTAATGGGAAACGTGGTGGTTGGATCACCTTCCCCTTTATTGCAGGTCTGTCTCTATCTCTGTCTCCCAGATAACTGGGTGCACATACTGACACACAGCATGGAGAACTATGTTGTACTAATATATATGTTCTGTTGTAATAACTAGGAACCTTAATGGGATTGCTGCTTGCTGGTAATGGATTTATGACGAACCTGATTGTGTATCTGATTGAGGAGTTCAACGTCAAGAGCATTGATGCTACTCAGATTACAAATATTCTTAATGGTTCAGTCTGTATCCTACCAATCATTGCAGCAATTCTTGCTGACTCTTTTTTAGGCAACTTCTCTGTTGTTGCAATTTCTTCCTTTTTCTCTTTGCTGGTAAGTAGTCTTACCCTTGGCAGTTGATCCTCACGAAAGGATTAATAATTTAAGGCCTTTCTGTTTTGAAATTAATCACTATTTTTCCATTGCAGGGAGTGGTTCTCCTGACCTTAACAGCATCTATTAACTCCTTGAGGCCTCACTGTGAGACTGGATCAAGCTTCTGCCAAGCTCCATCAAGAGTTCAATTTGCAGTGCTATATGCAGCTATAGCCTTAGCAACTATTGGCCAAGGGGCAATGAGATTTACTCTAGCAACTTTGGGAGCAAATCAATTTGACAAGCCTCAACATCAGGGTGTTTATTTTAACTGGTTTTTCTGCATCTTTTTTGCATCTGGGATAATAAGCTCCACAATAATTGTGTATGTTGAGGACAGTATCAGCTGGGGTCTGGGGTTTGGGATCTGTGCTGCTTCTAATTTTGTTGGTTTAGTTATTTTCTTGATGGGAAACCGATTCTATAAACATGACAAGCCTCAGGGGAGCCCATACACGAGCTTAGCTCGTGTCATTGTTGCTGCTATACAGAAGAGGAATATCCCATTATCATCCGTAAGTGAGGATTATTACCATGAAAAAGATGAAAGGAGCCAAACCATGGGTGCAACACCTCCTCGGAGCTTAAGGTGTGAACTTATTCTGAATTGGCATCACTGATTTTCTTTAGATATAAGTCAAAACTTAAAGGTTGAAGATTTAATTTTTATTTTCTCTGCAGGTTCTTGAACCGAGCAGCACTGAAAACTGATGAAGATATTAAATCAGATGGCTCAATTGTGAAATCATGGAGGCTATGCACAGTTGAGGAGGTGGAAAACCTGAAAGCTTTGCTTAGAATTTTCCCACTTTGGTCAAGCACATTATTCTTATCCACCCCATTAGCCATTCTGCTCAGCATGACAGTTCTCCAAGCTCTAGCCATGGATCGTCGGCTTGGTTCTAATTTTAAAATCCCAGCTGGATCAACGGTTGTTGTGGCATTAATCTCCAACTGCATCTTTCTTTCAATCTTTGATAAATTCTTTCTCCCTACCTGGAAGAAATTGGCTCGTAGGTCTCTGACACCTCTCCAGCGAATTGGAGTCGGTCATGTTTTAAATGTGCTAAGCCTAGCCATAGCAGCCTTGGTGGAGTCAAGAAGGTTGAAAATAGCCAATGCCAAGCACATTCAAGCACAGCCTGGTGCCATAGTCCCCATGCCTGTTCTCTGGTTGTTTCCACAATTTGTTGTTAGCGGCCTTGCAGATGTTTTCTATTTCCCAGGACAAGTCACATTGTACTATCAAGAATTTCCAGTTTCTCTCCGAAGCACAGCAACTGCCATGATATCTTTGATACTAGCGATTGCTTACTATGTGAGCACTGCTTTGGTGGACCTGATCAGGAATGTTACAGGTTGGTTACCTAATAATATAAACGAGGGGAGGCTGGATAAGGTATACTGGACTCTATGTATGATCGGTTCGTTGAACTTTGGCTACTATTTGGTGTGCTCTTGGTTGTACAGGTACAGAAATATTGAAGAGGAAATGGCTCGACCTGTAAACGAGGACAATGAAGAAACAAAGCAAGAAGGTTGAAACATACTTTTTGGCCTTCAAGAAGGTTGAACCTTTCGAAGAAAA